AATGGTGCTGGTATTCCCATCCCTGTTTTTCCATCAGGGAAGAAGTGGGCCACCACACAGTCCCTTTTCTGACACAGCAAAGTACGCTGAACTTGGGAGTTGAGAGGAGAGGAAGGGATGGAGAGGAAGGAATGACAAGCCTAGAATCAAACCTTTGATGCTTATTTGTGATGTTGTCCAGAAACTGCATTTCAAGATGGAATGATTACTGATTTCTTAATGCTGCCCATCTTTACAGTCCCCTCAGATACATCAATCTTAGGATAATAATTATAAACCTGTCAGACCACAGAGCATTGTGACTGAGTAGAAACTTATCACTATCTGCTGGGAAATGACCAGTGCTCTGTTTCTCCCTCTCCAACCACATCACAGCATGGCAAGCAGCTACTGAAAAGTACAGGCTATTATAAAGCAAAGTTTGCCATAGCCACAGGACACACCTCCAGCCAACTTTTATTAGATGGACTCCAACTGCTGCCCTTAAGACAACACTTAATCCATCAACGAACAAGTTCATTAGTTATTAGAATCCTTTATGCTATTTTTATCATGGTATTGCAGCAGTCACAGCACAGAGAGAGGCAAGGTACATTCACAAACCCCTCTGCACACACTATTTCTGCCTGCTGGCCTACAGTCCAATGTTTCCACAGCTAAATACTTTTATTTAGGGAAGGTTCTCGTGGAACAGTTGAATAACCAAACTACCAGGAAGGTTCCCACTGACTTCAAGAGCGGACAGACCAAACCACTGCAGACTGGGCACTGCAGAAGTTTGCAACTCACTCTAAAACAAACTCCAGTTCCCACAGCCTGTACAAGGCAGAGGAACGTGGAAGACTGTCGGTTTGGGGGTTCCCACCCAGTAACATCACCTGCCTCCAGCCCCCTGCTTGACCCGAGGCATCACACAAGGCTGCAGCCCAACGCCAGTCATGGTGATCTGCAGGAGGGCTGGCTGTGAAGCCGTCCTCTCCCAGCTGCTGGCCCCAGCTCTCTGCAAGGCCTGACCCCTCAGCACAGCCATTTGCAGACCTGCTAGCTCCAGCCAGTAGCACAGCTCAGCGTGCTCCTTGCCCTCTTAAGGAGCACCAGCAGCCCCCAGCCTTGCTCAGCCATCACCTTCTCAGTGTGAGAGCACGCACTGCACCGGATTAGGGAACTGATCCAAGCTAAAAATGCCCTATTTCATTTTTGTCTCTTCAAAAACAAACCTGACAGTATGACTCTGCTTATATGTGTGCCTTGAGAACAGTCATCGCTGACAGAAGGGCACGAGGACACTTGGCAGTCCTAATGTCTTCAAACAGCCTTACAGAAATCTCCCAAGGTAACGAGTAGCAGCCCACAAGTCCAGTACCATTAAAGCACATACAGTTTAAAACCAAGCACACACCAGGTGTTCCAGCTCCTGTGATACTGCTGGGTGCAGTGTGCTTCAGTGCAGAGCTGCAGTTACACCTCGCTCAGCACCAGGCCCTCTCATACCCAGCGCTGAGTCTCACTGCAAGCAGTGGGTAACAGTGCTCATAGAAACCAGGGGCAAGAATTTAAGAGGAAAGGCAAACTATTCCTCAGCTGTAAACTGGCTGTTCTCTTCCATGCCTGAACATTTCATATACTAACGTGGCCAGTCAATATCCCTCAAGACTAAGCTTTTCACTGCCCAGGTCTTGCCTCCAAGATACAGGTCTGCTCCAATATGGGTAGAAACAGATGGAGAAGCTCAAATTGGGAACTGGGGAAAAAGGCCCAGATTAATCCTGAGGAAGTCCTCCAGCTACACAGCACAGTATCAGCACCTTAACTTCCTTTTGTCTAAAAGGCTACAATTCAATTAGTGCAGCAAATCCTTCTCTTTCCTGATAACCTCCCCTGGTCCAGCACCTACACATAGCCACCACAGGAAAGCAAGAACATCCCTAATAAATCTTATCTACCAAAAAGGTGGCTAGCAAACAAAAAAAAAACATGAAAGAAAGCACCCTCCAGGGTACACAGGCCACAGAAACTAAAAGCAAAGGGCCCAAAGCACAGCACTTGCCATCAGCCTCAATTAGCAGCAAAGCAGGGTTTGGGAAAACAAGGGCCTCTTCAGAGCTGCTGTAGGGCAAGGATGAAATCACAGAATTAAAAACAAAATCCCCACACACACACTGATATTCAGAGGCAATTAGTTTAAGCTTACAGTCAGCCAACACGCATCTCACTGCAGCAGCTCTGAGAGCAATCCTGTTCACAACTGGAAATGGATTACATCCTCACAGCTCCACCATCCACATCATGCAAAGCAAACTGTCAAACAAAATCACAAAATGGTTCTTGTAAGGTACCCAACTTCAGTGTAAGGATTTGACCTATTTTATTACTGAATTATTGCTCCCACACAAGCTTCCATCAGTGCTGACATTTTTACACCAGTGAGGTATTCTCAGATACGTATACGTATACTCTTCTTCCCCATCTTAAAGATGCATTGAGCAGATTTGCCCCTCCGGGTACCTCCTGATGGCTGCATTCCCCACCCAGGAAGACCAAACAGACGCCCACAAGCAAGGCTGGCCAGTGGAGCAATGTGCCAGCCCCACGGCTCTGGCACAGCCCCTCTGGGGGGTGGCCCGGCACTTGCTGTGCCCACACTGAAGCCTGCAAGTGCCTCTTTTCCAGCTTTTACTCCAAAGGCAACCACCCCATCATGACTCTGCTGGCCAAAAAGAAGCTGCTGGCCCAGCTGAGTGAGGCAGAGTCCTGCCACTGCCACTAACACCACTGCCTGGAGGGCAATGGGGCAGTGAGCAGCACTCACCCCAACCCAGAGCCCAGCCGGCTGGCAGCCAACCCCCACTTCAAGGAGCAGAGGAGCCCAGAGACACAAGGATTGAAGGACGCATCCAGGGGAGGCTGGAGTGAGGCAGGACCCATCGCAGTGCTCCCCTGGGAGGACACACAGCCTTACCCAAGAGCTGAGGATGGGGGCCCTGCACCCGCTGTCTTCACCGGCTTCTTCCACGCATACTGCAGTCAGCTGCTGAAACACATCAGCTGCCACCCCTTTGGGGGATACTTCTCCAACTTGAAGGATTTCTTGGAACCACAACCCGAGGACATGGAGGACGACTGGGAGCAGCCCAAGACCTGTGAACCAAAGCGTGGAGCAGAGAGAGCCCGCAGCCAGCCACCTCTGCTGCTGTCAAAGCCTGCTGGGTGCCCCCTGGGGCCAGCTTCAGCCCACTGACACACAGCCCCACACCACCCACAGCCAAGTGGAACAGGACGAGGCAGCCTTGGGCCTGCAGGCTGTTTCCCCCTTTGTCCATGAAACTGAAGGCAGGGGCAAGGGCACTGGCTCACCCAGGGGATACCAAGAATTGGCCGAACCCAAAGCCATCACTCCCAGACCCAGCTATGCCATTCCACTCACCCCAGTGCCTCAGCCTGAAATATTTACAAGGGAGAGATGCTGCATTTCCTGATCAACTTCAGCAACCCTCTGGAGCACCTGAAAAATCAGGCAGCCCCACCAAAGCCACCTCTCTCCATTATCTCCATTATTCCTGCTTTCCCCAGCCCTGCGATAACCAGCTTGCACAGCCCTCCAACCCCACGCACCACCACCATCCCACAAGGGCTCACTGCAGCACCAGCTCTACCCCACAGCGACGTGGCACAGCCAGCACACCTACAGCACTCCACACACCTCCGCTTCCCACTGCAGCACCAAGCTGCTGCCTTGCTCTGGATCAGCCCTGGCCCCTCGGAGAGGCGGGCAGTGGGATGCCACAGCACTGGGATGCTGTCAGAGCTCCTGTGGCCCATGGCCACAATGAGCTGGACCGTGTCATGTTTTAAAAACATAAGGGAGCAGAATGAGTTGCAGAGGTTTTCTTGCTAGAGATGCTGTGCCCCTGTGCAGTTCTGTAGAGCCAACACAGACATGCAGTGGATGTTCCCATCTTGCCATGCTGTGCCCAGGATGCTCTGCAGCTCCCTGGTACAAAGCCCCTGCTCCCTCCTACAAAACCATGCCATTTTAGTTCTCAAGTATGCTGCCTTACAGCAGGGGCTACTGAGGTTATAAAGGGCTCAGGACAGCAGCAAGAATCCATGGGAAGCACATGGGCTGCTTAAGAACACTGAGCATCCACAGCTGACCCACACCTTTATGAATCATGTCCACAGCTGATGTCCACAGCTCCCTCAGATGCTAGAGTAAAGCTCAGGCTCACCCAGGCTGTGTCTTTCCCTGAACTGCTCCCTTTCACAGTGAAAGCTGGCAGAGCTGGGCCCATGGCCCCCTCTTACCTCCTGAGCTGGTCGCAGGGTCCCTCAGTCAAGCGCAGGGCAGGAAGGAAGCTGAGACCCTTACAGAACCTCTATAGCTGAGACTCTTACAGGTCGTTTCCAACCTTGTGATTCCATGATTCAGTCAGTTCCTTGCTGCTCACTCCCATCAGAAAGCTCCACGCACTGCTTGGGAAGCACAATGTCCCCTGGGGAAAAGAGAAAGCAGGAACAGGCCATGCAGGTGGCTGTCACCCAGCAGAAGGCCAGATCCTTCCGCCTGATATCTACTCCTCTTTCCAGTCCTGATGTGGCCCAGAGCATGCACAAGTATCGGTGCTCAGCAGCAGGACTCAGGGAAGGATCTGTAGAATCGGAGCTGATTCAGCTCTCCAGCCTGGCAAAGGAGCAGAGCCATAGGGCTGCACACGAGTACCTCGAGCGGGGAGCCTTCCTCTCTGTCCATCTCAGCAGTGCTCCCAGCAGCACACATACAGTCAGTCTGCACAGGTCTCCTCCCCTCACCCCTCAGCCCCCTTTCACCTTTCAGCACACCGCAGTTCAAACGCAGAAGGCTGCATTCCTCAGCTCACCGCTTTCTGCCAAACTGTTGCTGGGAGGGATGAGTCGATTCCTCTTGCTTTGATATCCTGTTCTATAGCTCCGACATCTCAAATAAAGGCTCTGTCATCGCCTTGTTTGCTTTACAGGTGGGAAGGGGCAGAGGACATCAGTAACAATCAGAATGATCAGTGCAGAGGGAGGAGGTGTAACCACAAAGGGACTAGCACAACAGAAGGGTGTTACAAAGAAAAGGGAAAGTGCTCACCTGTCCCTGAAGATCCAGGCTCACAGGGAAAACTCCACAAGGGAGGGATCTCCAACCACAGATCCTTGCCCAGTGCAGGGTCAGCCCTTCAGTGAGGTCTAACAGAGGTGCAGCCAGGCTCCCCTCATTCCATCATACAGCTGAACTGCCCTCACCTGCGCTCCCAGGGCTGACTGGGTCCTTTCCCCAGATGCTCCATCTGGGCTGGTGGTTCAGGCCCTGACTCAACACTCACCACACAGCATTTCTCAACAAATAACAGCCAAAGGGGGAAATGGTTTTTCCCCTGCTGTTTTCCAGGCTGCTCTAACAATCCCACCTCTGCTGTGCCGGTCGGCAGAGCTGACAACAGGACCTTCTCACGAGCCAGCAGGATGAGCAAGTGAGCAGAGTTTTTGGAAACGTGCCTGCTGTCAGGGTGGGAGTTTGGGCCCGCCCCAGCACCATGCATTTCCACTACACGACATGGGAGGTGGCAAAGGTGTGGGAGTCAGTGGAGAGCTGGTGGAGGAGGAGAAGCTTGGATGCCTGGCAGTTTGAGGGGACATGAGGTAGCTGCACCCATCACAGCCAAGGGCAGCGCAGACAGACGGCCATCAGACATGATGTGCAGGGTCTTCATGACTGGAGCTTCAGGGGATGGCCGTGGTCACTGTGGAGAAGGGAAGAGTGTGGGCAGCAATTGTGAAGACAGGGCACCTACCCTGGGCTGCAGCCTCTACTGCAGGGTTGCAGGGTTTCAGGCTGCACAAAAAACCCTTTGTCTCATTTGCTCTACAGAGTGACTCAAAATCCAACCCCAGCACTGGCACAGCCTGCGCAGAGCACGGCAAAGGAACCCAAAACCTGACAGCTCCCTTCCTACACCCTTCAAATCAATCAAAGATGTCTCTGTCCCTTCAGCAATCCCACCCTCTCCCAACGGGGCAAGGACCAAAGGGTTCTTCCTTGGTCAAGAACTCTCCATCCAACTCCCAAAGCTCTCAAACACCTCAGGCACCTTCAGCTTTGTCATACCAGCAGTGAAGTGCATGCACCCACCTGCCACAGCTTTGCAAGAAGACACCACTCCCTGCTGAATTATCTGATGGGCCACGTATGTCATACCAACAGAGAGAACAGAGGAAAAAACAACGGAGAGATGGAGAAAAAGGCCCTTAATAAACCAAGGACCTTGGGGCTCTCTCTAGGACACCAGTGCACACAGCACCGACAAAAGCATCACAGAATCACAGAATGGCCAGGGTTGGAAGGGACCTCAAGGATCATGAATCTCCAACCCCCCTACCACGTGCAGGGCCACCAACCTCCACGTTGAATGCTAAACCAGGCTGCCCAGGGACCCATCCTACCTGGCCTTGAACACCTCCAAGGACGGGGCACCCACAGCCTCTCTAGGCAGCTGTTCCAGCACCTCACCACTCTCTGGGTAAAGAATTTCCCCCTGATGTCTGACCTAAATCTCCCCTCCCTCAAGTTAAAACCATTGCCCCTCATCCTACACATATCAACCCTTTCAAAGACTTGATTCCCCTCCCCTCCGTGGGCTCCTTTAGGTACTGCAGGCTGCAATGATGTCACCCCGCAGCCTTCTTCTCTCCAGGCTGAACAAGCCCAACTCCCTCTGCCTGTCCTCATAGGGGAGCTGCTCCAGTCCCCTGATCATCCTAGCGGCCCTCCTCTGGACCCTCTCCAACAGCTCCCTGTCTTTTTCTCACTGCAGGCTCTACACTTGGACACAGCAGTCCAGATGGGGCCTCACACTGGGCATCGCACTCCAACAAGGAAGGAAAACAAATCCAGCACGCTCTGCAGGGCTCCCAGCTCGCAGCAGGTGACGCCTGCTCCGCGTACAGAGCGTGCACACAAATGGCACCTCATCTCTTCCCCATTTATCCCCCCACCATTGATACGGGCATTTAGAGGCATTGTGGAAAGGCAATGGAAGGCTCATCAAGAAGACTGGATGCACAGGAGATTTCTCACTTCCTCGGGGCGACAGCACTGCTTGTCTACATGACCAATCTTTCCCAAACAAGCACCAACCAACCGTCACAACTAACAACTGAAAGGGCATTTCCCTGCAAAAACAACCAACCAACCAAAGAGCAGCCTGTCCAAAGACCCCTCCTCACACACTTGCCAAAAAGGCCACAGCCAGTATTCCATTTGCCAGGCTTACTCACAGAACTTCAGGCTTCTCTTCTCCATGCATCACGTGGACACACACAGGCTGCTGGTGCAGGGAAGGCAATTTCACCTCAGCATCTCACCACAGACGCTCCCTGCGTTCTGCTCTCCTGCAAAGATACAAGGAGAAAAGCCTCAGCTCCTCCGAGCAACAACTGCAAACAACTCCAGAAAATCCCCACCCAAAAGCAGTTCCTGGAGAGCTACAAAGCACTCCTTCAAGGTGCACATCTGCTTATGCTGCGGCCTCTGCACAAACACGCTGCCTTGGTGCTCCTGGCTATTCAGGGCTCTTTTTCATCACCTCCTGGGCACAGCGCAATAGCTGCTCTTGCACAAATCTAGGCCCTACCTACCTTACGCCACCCCAAAATCAAGTCTGACACAGAGTTGGGGTGCAGCGACCGGATGCTGACAAGAGCTCTAAAAGAGCAGAACAGGGGAAGAGCACATACACACAAGGCAGAAATAAAGAAGGGCAGAAGAGAAGAAAAAGAAGAAAGCATACAGGTAAGAAACAAGTGCAGAAGATGAAAAGTGCAGCAGAGATAACGGTTGGATACAGGCAAGACAGCAAAGCAAGGAAAAGACGAGCAGAACAGAAGAGCAGAAGCATAACACAGAGGATGAAGGTAAGAACGACACGCAGACAAGGAGAAGAGCAGAAAGGGAGACAAGACAGGTAAGACAGAAAAGCAGAAGTGCAGAGCAGCTGGAGAGAAGAAGAGAGAACACGGGTACGGCAGAAGTACAGAAGATGGGCAGAGAGGACACAGGCCAGGGAGAAGTGCAGAAGCAAAAACAAATAGAAGGGAGGAAGAGAGAACAGAAGAGCAGAGAAGGAAAAGAGCAGAAAAGTAGAAGAGCACATAGCATAGGTCAGAACAGAAGAACTGGGGAGCCTCAGATGTGCAAGGAGGACACAGCTAAGTAAGAAGAGCGGATGAGGAGAACAACAGGAGAAGAGAGGATACGGGTAAGAAAGAAAAGCTGAAGAGGAGCACAGATGCAGGAGAGGAGTCAGGATACAAGGAAGGAAGGAAGAACTGCAGATGAGCAGAAAGAAAGAGGATAACAGGAAGGGAGTAGAGCTGAAGAGTAGGTGAGGAAGAGAGCAGAAAAGGGAAGCACAGAAGAGGGAAGAGCAGAAAAGACAACGCTGTCTGCTCTGTCCTCGCTAGCAATGCCCCAGGACACGGCCAAAGCGAGGAGAAAAAGCCCACGATGTAAAGTGAGCGATGTTCTGGAGGCACACAGCACCAGTTCACAGCAACAAGCTCGGCATACGCTGCACGGGCCTCGACTCATTCCTGCACTGTTCTCAGCTGAATCGGGGCTGTCCCACTGAAATCACTCCTTGTCATTGTCACCTGTCCAACTGGCCCACCACGGCTGCCGCCGCTTTCCAGAACTGGTCATATTAAAGCTGGCACTTTAAGTCCTTAGCCACGGGCTGGTTTGGGTGGTGATGACTGGCAATCGCTTGGACGGGAGATCCTGACTGGGAGGGGAAACCATCCCTGGGGGGAGAACGCACTGCAGGGATGGCCAATCCCCAATGGGACGATGGGCAGAGCCTTGGGAAGGAAGGGCACTGGGCTGCAAAATGCCCATCCATACGGTCACTGATCCTGGGGATGGGAAACCACTGGGATGGGAAGGAGGTCTGGGTACAAAAAGGCAAAGCATGGCAAGCCGGGGGGAAAGGGGCTGAGCCCAACGGTCACAGAACCCCCGTGGGGGGAGGGGCTCCCCCAACTGCCACTCTCCAGCTGTCATGGCAGGTAAGGCAGCAGCTCCCCCTGCTCTGACGCTCCAGCTGACCCCAGCGCCCCACATCTCACCCCTGTGGCCCCACATCTCATCCCAGATCTGCAGAAAATACCCCTGTGACCCGGATCTCACCCCAGTACCCCAGATCCCACTCCTGGCACCCGGATCTCACCCCAAGGCCCCAGCTCTCAGCCCAGTGCCCCTTCTGCCATTTCCCCACAGAGAGATTCCCTCGAGCGCTGACGGTGCCTCTGACGCCTGACGCCACTTGCTTTGATGCCACTGTGCCGCCACCGGACCCCGTCTGGATGCAGCCCACCGTCCGCGGACCGATGCCGGTACCCCCACAACCCTTCCCTGTCCCCACTGCCACCCACCTGGCACCTCAGCCCTCTGCCTGGCCCGGCCTACCAGCTGTCTGGGGACAGGCAGCGCAGCTTCCACCCGGGGGGCTGCCCCCAACCCTGGCTCAGCTGCCACCTGTGGGCCTCACCCCAACTGTGGGGATGCACTCACCGGTGCTGTTGCTCCTACCTGGGGGGCTGCACCCAGCTACGGCTCCCCCCCACGCCCCTGCTCCCTGCTCGGGACGTCCCCTGCCCGCAGGGACGCTGCTGCCCCAGCGGCCGATGGGGCTGTGGCCCGGGGCCGTGCCCCTCCATGTGGAGCCCCCGCAGCCCGCAGGCACCTGCCTGCCGCAGGCCCCCGGCCGCCCCGGCCCCCCCCCTAGTTCTTTTGCAGGTACCCTCCCTGCAGGAGCAGGTGCTCCCCGGGCCCTGCACCCTGCCCGACACCTGGCAGCCGCCGATGCAGCCCTCCCAACACGCCGTGCTGCTCTCGGAGGACCAGGGACACCCAGCGCCCACCGACGTCTGCCCCCACCCATCCATGGCTCCACTCACCTGCAGCGCTGCCTCGCTACAATCAGGCCGTGAGTTCAGGGGCTGCAGGGCGGGCAGCAGGCTGTCTACTCCACGGGGCTGTGGGAAAGCTGGCATTGCCCCACTGGGGATGCTCTTGCTTGGCCAGCAGTGACAACGAGCGCAGACACCCCAGAGGACATCGCTGAGGACATCGCTGAGCTCCTGACGTGGATCAACAAGGGTGAGGCTGGGGGCAGCAGAGCTGGCGGGGGGTGCCCGCACCGAGCGGGCACAGGAAAGCTGGCAGTGCCCCTCTGGGCATTTTCTTCCTTCCCCAGAACTGACAGCCAACCCAGGCATCCTGCACGACACCGCAGACATGGACGAGCTGCTCACCTGGATCAACAGCGGTGCGTTTGGGAGCAGCACAGCTGATGGGGGCTGTCTGCGCTGAGCGCCTGCGGGAAAGCTGGCATTGCCCCACTGGGCATTTCTTCCATTGCCCAGAAGACAGACCCAGCACCAGCACTCTGGACGGCGATGCCGAAATTGACCCTTTGCTCGCCGGGATGGATGGTGAGTTTGCGGTCTGCACAGATGACCAGTGGGTGTCTGCACCAAGCGGGGGTGGGAAGGCTGCCATCATCGTGGCGGGGCATGTTCTGCTATTCCAGAAGCTGCAAGTGCTCTGCACAGCTGCAGAAGGGAGGGGCTGACGCAGCGCACCACTGCCACAGAACCACCGAGCCCACGTGCCTCCAGCAGCCTCAACTCCTCTTCCATCACAGAGCTGCCTCACTCCCCCACGGCCAGCCGGGAGCTCAGCAACAACAAAGATGCTGAACCTGGGCTCCTCAACAACTCACGTGGGCACCAGGCAGCATCCCCTCAGCTGCCCGTGCCGAGCCCCCTGGCTGCTCCCGCACCGCCATCGCCGAACAACGCACACCCGATGGAAGAGGTGCTGCGAAGGCAGCCCCGGGTGATTCTCACCCGCCTGGCACTGCCCAGCCCCCTGGCTGCCCCTGCACCTCCTGCACCTCGCACTGCACACCCCATGGCAGAGCTGCAGCGGAGGCAGCCCCGGCTGGTTCTCCCCCGCCTCGCACTGCCACGCGGCTGCATCTCCTGCCGGCTGGCACACCAGCACCCAGGGCACAGCACCGAGCCAGCCAAGCGCCCCGTGCCTCCTCTGCTGCGCGCTGGGCGGCTCATGGAAGAGGCGCCGCACAAACAGCCCCACGTGCTGCTCAGGCGCCTCGCACTGCCAGCCGCATGCATCTCCTGCCGGCTGGCACACCAGCACCACGGGGACAGCACCGCGCCGCCCACCAGCCCAACGCCCGCCTGCACCACCACCAGAGGACAGAGCACCGCGCACAGGCAGCACGCTGCCAGCATCCCAGGCACACGCAGGAAGCTGCCGCGCTGCCACCGTGCGCCAGCCCACAAACGCCGGCGCTAGGCCAAGCTGCCGCTGTCAGCACGGCGGCCAGCACCAGGACTCGGCACGGTTATGGGCACACAGCAACACAACAACAACCCTTCCAGCAGCAGCACAAACAAACACCGAAAAGAATGCACCGCCAGGGCAAAGCACAGACGCCCACCGAGTCTGGAGCAGGACACAAGCTTAGCATCCGTGCCTGGGAGGAGGAAAGGGTAGCTACTGGGCATGCTGCTTCCTCCAGCACAGGTGCAACTGCAGGGCCACCAGCCCAGAAGCAGCCTGCGGCTGCCAGTCACAGCAAAGCATCTCTCTGGAGGAAGCCAAAGCACTTGCAGTCATGCCAAGGAGGAGGGAAGAGTAGCTACCGGGCATGGATCTCGCCTGCCAGCAGAGGGGGAGGGAATTTGGTGGGGTGGCAATTCTGGGTGAGAAAATGTACTCTGGTAATATTGTACTCCAAAATTGCTGGAATTGGGAGGAAGGAATTACTGGCGTGGGATTTTGGGGGGCTGGGAAGTTTTGTGCAGGGGGAAGAAACTATTGGTGGGAGGGAGCAGGGAGGGGGGAAATTAATCGGCGAGTGGGAAACTGATCAGAGGGTGGGAATTTTAGGGGGTGGGATCAGAAACTGGTGTTAGGGGTGGGAAATGGCTGGGAATCTTGTCATTTAAGCACTGTTTTGTACGTTTCACTATTAAATGTCCTGCGTTCCCTTTGCTACACCTCTGCCTGCAGTCGTTCATGCAGCACCAAAGCCCCCACAGGCCCCCGTGCCCACCTCTGGGGATGTTGAGGTGGCTGCAGGCAGACAAGAGCTCCTCCAGCTCCTCCAGGCTGAACATCTCCATCGGGGGCACCCAGTTGGCACAAGGAGAGTTGAGGCAACGCCAAGAGGCAACGGGAGCTTACTGGGGAACTGCACAGAGCACCAGGGGGCGTGGAGAGCTTTGCACAGCACTTGTGGGGTTGGGGGGCTCAAACGGTACCCAGCTGGCACATTTTCACCTCACTAACTTCCTGCTCTCCAACATCCCACCCAAGCCATTCAACAGGCCCTTTTCTCCAATGGGGGCAGACTTTCTCCTTGCGCCTGACCTTCCCCCCCCACCTCCCCAGGCTGCCCGTCTCCCCCCTGGGCGCTGTGTTCCACGCATTCCCACCCTCATGCTGTCGCTCAGGGACACCTTTGTCACCCACACACTCACCATGGGTCCTCAGGAGGGCTGGGGGTGTCCTGTAAAAGCAACCCCAGGGACAGCTCTGCTCCCGAGCCCTGGAAGACACAGCTCCTGGAAAAACACCTGCAACGCTGCTTCATCTCATCACCTTGCACTCCACCTGGGCGCTGTGTGGAAGCCAGCTGCTTCCCCTGCTGTCTCAACACTGGGCTCGCCTCTCTCACTCTGCTCCTCACCCAACACCCAGCACTGCTTTTACCATGCCCCTGCTGAAGAGCACACAAGGAACACAAGCACACTGCTCTCCCTAGGAAAAACATGGCTCCCAGGCACCTGCACTGCAAACCTACCAACAGACGGTTAAGGCTCACAGGAATCACAAAAGCTTAAAACAAACCCGAGGCCCCTGTTTAGCAGTAAGGGTTGGCTGAATTTGGGCTCACAGTAGGATTCCAACTCGTCACCTTCCTGCCTTCCAACTGCCTTCACTGTGCTTTGAAGCTAAGATCCAATGCTTAATGCCCTTATCTAACAGCATCCACTTCATCAACACAGAGGAAGGAACGTCTCAGTAATTACATCACACACCAGCCAGGCTGCTAAGGACCCGTAACTCTTCTGGGACAGCTTCATCCAAACCTTTCTGCATTAGCCCTGCTATCACCCCAAACTCGTTCCATTACTGCTTTGAGGGCTCAGAGCCTGAACTCCACTAAAAGGCCACCTGTCACCATGAAATCAGGCACACCTGACACAACCACACCACTAAGGCTCCTCTGCTCAACTCCACTGGTTCCCAGTGCTCGCTTAAAAAATAAAATCCACCAAGAGTATCAAACACCAACACGTTTTGGTGGCACAGCCCAGCGCAGAGCTACGATCCCAAAGCCATTGTAAGGTTTGATTTAACAGTGCTGTGTGGGACGATTCAACTGCTTCAAGCTCAAACATGATGCAAGGGATTGATTAATCCATACATCTCAGCGACCTCAAATCCTGATGTCTTGGAAAAAATAAACAGAACATGCCATCTCAAATAGCAGATAATCAATCTACAGAACTGAATCCAGCACGCAGTCCTGGGGACAAATTCTGTGCTGGCAGCAGAGTCTTTTTACGACCATTGGGAACATCCCTACTTACAGAGCTACCACAACTTGGGCACTAAATACACAGACCCACCTGGCAGAACAGCAAATAAAGAAGCAACTTACCCTCCCCTTATCCAAATCCACTCTCACATCTAGAAGTGAAACTACAAGTTTAACTGCCATGAAAACATGAGGGGATAAAAAAGTCATCTGGTATTTTCCAGGTAAACCACCAAGATCATAGAATCCCAAACTGTAAGGGATCCACAAGGAATCGCCAAGTCCAACCTGATGCTCCAGGAAGGACAACCCAAACACAAATGGTCTTTAAGCTGCAGCAGCTCAGGACCAGGCCCACAGCCCTGGGGAGCCTGGCCACAGCCACTGGTATCAGGTGCAGCAAGCACAGGGAGCAGGCAGGCAGGCACAGCACAGCAAGCAAAGACCAATAAAGCTCCACCATTTTGACAGCCAAAACACAAACTGCCATTTCACTTCTCATGGCTCTTCCCTGAGCTCCCAAACAAACAGTTACTTCAGTCCCCTATCGCACTGCAACTGCTCATAATCCATAATCAAGATTGTATCTTTCACAACATAAGCAGCTCACTTCTGCTTGGTGGCAATGACGTCCATTCCCATTGCGTCCCTTCATGTGAGCAAAATCACAGCCAGCTTTCTGACAGCCTCCTGCAAGATCCTCCACAAAGCACCCAGCACTTCTGAAGAGTGACAGAAAGGAAGAGTCATGCAAACACGCACACAAGGTCCCCCCACCCCCAGCCCAGAGCAGCCCATCACACACAGAGCGGCAGAAACACCAGTGCAATGGCAGGATATTACAGAGGCAGGAAAAGCACTGCTCACCATCTCCAAGGAGTCACCGACAGAACCAACTCCACAGCAGAGAACCTTCCAGAAAGAAACCCTTCCCTGCTCCCAGCCAGCCCTCAACTGAGCTCCAGGAGGGGCAGCCAGGCTCCGCCCCTTCCAGCCACGGAGCTCCATTGCCTTCAGCTGCGCTCCAGGGCTGAGCGGCTCCTTTCCTCAGCTGCTCCGTGACTGGGTCAGGCTGGGATTCAGCACTTCTTAGACAGCAGAGCAAAGGAAAAGATCGCAAAGCAAAGCTAGAGACAAAATACAAACAGCAAAGACAGCTTGCAGGATCCTAGGAAATAACAGCAAAGCACAGGAAGAAGGCAGAAGGCAGGGGTATGTCTGCGTGTCTGTCTGAAGGAAAAGCTGCAGGTGTTCAGTGCTGCTCCATGCACCCATCGCAGACAGCTGCACACAACAAGGCTCCAGCAGCACTGGCAGCTCCTGTCAGCTGCACTATTAAAGCCATCTGACAAACTTCCAATTCCATATTGCCAGTGCTTTAAAGAGAGAAGCACTAAAGCTGGCAAACGCACGGTGGCTCCAGACAACAAGCACCAAGTGAAATGGCACTTCAGGCCATCAGCATCCCTACGTTACTGCACCTCTTTTAGTTGATCCAGAGAGGCTTCTAGCTCCTTTACAGCTTCTTCTCATTCCCTGAGCTGGAAAAATCAAGGGAAAAATGTTGGAATGGCTCCAAAACCCGTTCAATTTTCTCTTAATCCCGATTTTGCCCTGCAGTTGGGGTTTTGTTTTTATTTCTGGTGTTGCACAACAGGTGACTGAAGTGACTGACACAGCTTGGAAGTTGAATCATTCCATCAAACATGCTGGTTTTCTTTGAAATCTCTCCCTGAAATCAGTAAATTCCTACAGACACTGTAGGAGGAATTTTACCAGCCCAAGCCGACTCCAGGTTTGGATTCAGCTGAAACTCCTTTCTCCCCTTAAGATCTGCGCCTCGCTGCCATGTCAGAACAGACCTGGGGCACAGGGAAAGGAGCCAGAGAGTGTTTCCTCTGCTGCACGTTTGATTCCTCGCCATTGCAGACAGTCATGTCTTCGAGGTTGGAGAACAGTTCTCTGAATTCAGTGACACAAACTTCTGTAAAGACTTCATTCTTACTTTCACGGTTTGGATTTTCACTTCTGTCTGAGTGCCTTCTGGGCTCTCATCTTCAGCTCTGCTGCCACTGCCCCAGGCGGATGGGGAAGGAACCTGCAGAGGGTGTCCTGTCATTTTCTCCCCAGCAGTGGGTTCATTTTCCAAGTAGTCACACGTTCACTTTCCAGTTCAGTCTCACCTAGGATGCCTACTGCAAAGAACAAAAATTAGTGGAAAACAGATGATGATGTAGCTTAATATGGAGACAGTTTCCAGCACATAC